CCTCCCAGGTGCCTGTTAGGCTGGGGGCCAGCCCAAGGGCCAGCGCTCCAGGCCCTGTGGCCTCCCGGGCACCGGGGGCCCTCCCTCTGGGGGCCTACGAGGCAGGAAGCTAGCCAGCCGGAAGACCGGTGCTCCCTGCCCGTGGCTCCCTGTACGCTGGAAGCCCTCCTTCCGGGGAACTACGAGGCCGGGAGTGAGCCACCGATCCGAAGACCAGCGCTTCCCCTCCAATGCGTGTTTTCTCTTGAAACTTTATAAGAATATTATGATGAGAAGATGCCACTTCAGTGACTGAACCTGTCACTTCAACATTTGTGTCTCTTTTAAAATATTCATTTACTTTTTATTACTTAAAAAATGTTTTACAGTACTGGAGGTGGAACACAGGCCCTTTGCACTGAGTAACATCCCCAGCCCTATTTTTATGTTTCAGGACAGCATCTCACTAAGTGACCCAGCCCGGGCTCACATTTGCAGCGCTTCCTTTCCCAGCCTCCCAGAGTGCTGCAGTTGGCAGGCACTCAGCACTGCACCCAACTACATTTTTTGAGATGGGGTCCTGCTGTGTTGCTTAGGTTGGGTTCCAACTCCTGGGCTTAAATGATCCTCTTGCCTCAGCCTTCCAAGTAGATGGGAGTAAGGTGTATGTTACCATGCCTGGCAACTTCTTTTTCTTTCTTTTTTTTTTGGTGGTGGGGAGATGGTGCTGGGAAATGTAACCCAGGGTCTTGTATAACCCAGGAAATCTAACCCATGGAGACAAACATGGTACTGCTAAGCTACATCCTTCTTCTGATTTTTTTCCCCCTTTTGGTGGTACTGGGGACTTAACCCAGAGCCTTTGTAAGTAAGTGAGCTACAGCTTTAGTCCTTTTTATTTTTATTTTTATTTTTATTTTTTTGAGACAGGGTCTTGCCAAAGCATTATGTTGATCAGGATAGATCCAAACTTGCCATCCTCCTGTCCCAGCCTCCCAGAGTGTTGGGACTATAGTCATGTGCCATCATGCCCAGCTATCCAGAGTGTTGATAACATCATTTTCCAGGCCAGGATCTTATATCATTGTTCAAATGTTTCCAAAGAAAAAGCACCTAATAGTTGCATTTTATTACCAGTTTCCTCATAGTAGTTGCTTAACTTCTTTAGCGTATGTTTTATAAAACTAGTAAATGTCTTTAGCATAATAGTCATGAAGATAACAAATTACTTTGAGAAGGAATATGCAAGTACTGTGAAATGAGGTTAATTAGTGAGAAATTGTTGCTTTAGCTTTAACCCCTTATTTATTTAAAAAATTGATTTTTCTTCTGGGGGATACCATTAGGAAAGTGGGCAGTTAGGAAGCTATATGTGCCTACAATTTGATAATTGAGTTCTGTGAACTCAAACAAGGAGCTAAATCTGTTTCAAGATTTGTTTGGGGATTATATTGCTTGAAAGATCTGAATAGCTGTTTTGAATAGCCAGGGTGATTAACTATATCTTTGGAAATTGAAAAAAGCAAGTAAAAACCAGAGAATTTAATAATAAAGCTCTTGTGGTACTGGTAGTCATCATGAATGATTGTGCCATTTATAGCATGAGGAAAAATAAACCGTTAAAGCATATATTTGTCTTTTTTTTTTCCCAGTACTAGGAATCAAACTCATGACCTCTCACTTGCCAGGCCGGTGCTGTGCTGCTGAGCTAAGACCCCAGCCCCTGAATCTGGATTTTTTTTTTTTTTTTTTTTGGTACCAGTATTTGAACTCCTGACCTTGCGCTTGCCAGGCAGGTGCTTGCGCCATTGAGCTATATCCCCAGCCCTAAAGCATTTATTTGTCTTATTTAATTTGTCTTGAGACACACACTAAAGAATAAACTCATGTCTCTCTTAGGACTTGTAGTGTTTTTATACTGTATGAACCTCTTGTATTTCAACATATAAATGCTATTATAATTGTGCATTTATCAATAGTTATAAGGAATATTTTCTTTAAGGGTATGTTTTGCTGTACATACACAAAATGAATTTTAATGGTCTGTTTTTGTGGAATACTTGAATTTAAAAAGTGGGTAGAGGATCTTTGATTCTTTGTTATAGTTTATAAATGTATTAATGTTATTCTTAACTTGTATTGCCTTGTTTTCAGTAAATAATGTTAATAATATTTATATATTGAATATGTAGAGTGGGTTAAAAATAAAATTCCTTTCATAATTAAAATTAAAATCTTTTTCTTAGCACTAGAGGGCACTCTTGATTTATGAATTGGTGTCATACTTAGTCTGCATAAAATATGGAATGAAATGAAATTATTTGAAAACATTACATTGCAGACTGATACTATCAAAATTAGAATTGTTTCCCAGCACTTGGGAGGCTGAGGCAGATGGCTCACCAGGAATGTGAGGGTAGCTTGGGCTACACAGTAGCCTGTACTGCATAATGAGAGCTTGTATTAAAACAAGCAAACAGACAAAAAATTAGCATTATCAAGCTGATTTTGTATAGCAGTATAAATACAAGTTCATCTTTTATAAAGACAGTGAAGCTAATTGAGTGAGATAGTATATATTAGAGGGAATTACAGTATATCTGTGCTTTATTCATTTTCACATCAATTTTCTAAATGAGTTACAGTGGTTTTGAAATTCTATTCCTTCATATACGTTTCTTACCTTAAAAACTCTAGCACAGTGTTCTACTCTTAGAGGTGCTTAGGCTAATCTGAAGAAACGAATATAAAAGATATGATTAAAGTTGCTAACATAATGTTTAAGCTTTTGAAAACCTGGAACGTGTTGTACTCCATCTAGGAAACAGATTTGGTGCATTCTTACTCATTAGATTTTTATTAGGATGTTAGTGGTATTCGTCAACATGTTTCCTAGAGCTACATTTTAAAGATTTTTGTCTTTTTCTCCTGTAGCAATGACACCATTGAATTTAAACTTTACTTGGATTAAGTAGACAGTAACAAAATCTGCTTCACTGCTGCATCACTATAATAGTACTCTTAATCCTGTACCAGTATTGTCTGAAGTGCTTTTGTGTGTACTAGCTCATTTCTCCCTACCATACCTCTGTTGAGTAGCTGTTTAGTGTTATCCCTGTTTTATAGGTGTGGAAATAAAACAGAAAAATTCAGGTTTGCTGGGCTTAAAAGTAAGGCAGTCTTGTTCTAGAGTTTGCTTTTAACTTATTGTCCTACTTTGCTTCTCCAGAGAAAAGAAACAGCATTGGAGGAACTATTATTGATATTTCAAACTTAGTTTTAAAGTTAGTATAATGTAGAATACCTAATTTACAGAGACATATTTCTCTTCTGAAAAACATTGTAGAAATTTTAAAGTTGAAAAAGGACCTTAAAGTCTTCCTCCCCGTCATACTAAAGAGAAGTTGTTTTAGACAAAGATAGTTACCTTTTTCAGTACTATGTGGCAAGTTAAGGAAAGATATTAAAACTTCAAGTGAACATTTTCACATCCAGTAAAGTGAGAAGAAATAATGAGGCATTATCAGAAGTACAATGAATATTTTTAATTTTTTAAAAAATTACAGCAAAAGGCACATTACCATTAATCTCCCTCAAAATATTTGAATACAATTATCCCATCATTCTTGCCACCTTCTGAAGCAGTTCTGAAGGCCTCTTTTGTGAGTATCTGTGTAGTTGTGCTGTCGTGGCTGGCTGCCTTGATGTCCTGAATCAATTAAAAACAGTTACCTTTCCATGGTCATTTTGACTTTGGGGAGAAGCAGATGTTGCGTGATGCCAGACCTGGTAAATGAGTTGGGACATACCATAATGTTTCTGATAGAAATTTCTGTATTAAAAGTAATGTGCAATGTGGCATCATAATGGAGGGTAAAACTATTTGCCCATTTCTAGCCATTTTCTATGTACATTATTCCTTAAATAATAAGCCCTTACAATATTTACAGTTCCCAGGAGAGTTCCTGGATAGAAACTCAGTTCACACAATTCTATCAAGGTCAAAACACAGTCTTAAAAATCTGGAATTTAAAAGGGCGTGATCACAAAACTCCAATAAAGTTGATTGTTTCATGTAAATTCTTGTTTGTGACCCATGATTTACACACATTTTAAAACATACCTTCTCTCAACTATAGCTCACAACAGAGTGACTGCACCAAATAAGTTGAAACCTGTCACACACTGGTTCCACAGGCCACCACTTATATTGAAGATCTTCCTTCCTGTTGAATGGTAGTTGGCCACAGCTGTATTTTTTGATCGCATGGCATATGGTGTTATAGGAAGAATATTTGACTAGAATTGATGGTTTGAGTCTTGGTTTTAGTTCCTCACTTACCTTCCTGAAGTTCTGTTTCTTATATGGGAATAATAATAGTATTATTGTTATATTTCATTTTAAAATATCTTTCCCAAATAATGTCATTGGTAGTTGTGAAAATCAGTAAGATCATGGATTGAGGATGTTAATAAACTTTAAAGTCCTATATAAATTAGCTTATATTGTGATACCACTAGGACTGATAAGCTTATTAAGTATTGTTGATTGAGAAGTGTCGTTTGGGTCTCAAAAAATTTATCATGTATGGAATGTGTTACTTTGTCACATGGTTTTTATAATTATTTACTTAACTAAAAAAGTTACCCGGTTGATCTTTTTCTTAAAATATTAATCAGTGAAAATAATGCTTCAGGATGAATATAACAGTAGCAGTTACTCAGTACTGCCCATTCAGTGTCTCTCATCATTTGAGAAAAGAGTGTCCTCAATCTGGATTTAGTTTCACTGACATAAAAAGAGTTTAACAAAGTTATAGTATTTTGTGTCTTAGAGTGGTGGTAGACACAGAATTTGCTTTCTTTTTTTTTTTTTTTTTTTTTTTGATTTTGGTTTTTCTCCGGTACCAGGAACCGAACTCACGACCTTGTGCTTGCCAGGCAGGCGCTTTGCAGAATTTGCTTTCTTAAACTCTAAGGAAAACATCATTTTAACTTTCCTGGATTTTTTTTTTAAATAGGAATAATGTATCTGTGGCCCTGGACATGAAGTAATCAGTCCTCTGTTACTGCTGACGTAGGTCGGGGACTGATGAGTGAAGCATGGACCTAATGAACGGACAGACAAGCAGTGTTAATATCCCAGCTACTGCTTCTGAGGTAAGACACTTACAGAACTTAGTTAAAATTTCTTATCTGGCTTTCTAATTTTTCAGGCATTTTGGTATACCATATTTTAAAAGCAGAATGTGAGGAAAAGCCCTCACATTTTTAAAGACTTTTTTTAACTTTCAGTTTTGCCATTCATGTGTTAATCGTGCATCTCAGAAACATTTAATCCTTACCTGTTAAGGATGCTTGGAAAAAAATGACTAATAATGATTACTGGGAAACACTTTCTTAGGTTTAGTTTTAAAGGAAAAATAACTTCTTTTAGGGTGTTTTTAAATTACATAAACCTTGAAAGCAATAGTATAACTGAGGCAAAGAAAATTTCTTTTATTTGGAATCACTATATCAAGATCCCTTGGTTTCAAACCTGTTGGATGAGATCAAAGTGCTGACAAGCTGGAATTCTAGAAGGATTTACTTGGCTAATGTACCCTAGACTGTAAGGTGGAGGTAGAAGCTGAATTAGGTGCTCATGTCTGTAATGTATAGTTATATTATTTCTGCTTCACTTTTTTCTTTTTTGCTTTGCCCACACATTTAGAGTACTTTTCTTAATAGTTTCCACAGCTGTCACCTATGTTTCTCCTTTGTTTTTCTCTTACTATATTGGAGAATAATGTTTATGACTGTTCAACAATTTAACACCTTGACCTCAAAATTTGTTAAGAACTATAACACTCCAGGGCTTTTTTCACTTCCAGTCATAGCACATGTTCATAGCATCTAAATTTAAACCTTTAGAGTTTTTTGTTTATTCCCTTTTCCTTTGCCCACCAGAACTGTCTTCTCATCATAACAGAGTCTACCAGCAAGGCAGAAATTACTGTCTTACATAATGTGGTCATGGAATAACAACTTGTCACTTTTACCATATTATGTTAAGTAGAAACAAGGCATAAGTCTTGCCCACATCACAGGGGAGAGAATTGCGTTAGGGCAGGAATACACAAAGATGGAGATCTTCGGCAGCTGTCTTGGAGCCAGCTGTTCACCACACTTTATCTCTAGCCTTGTGTCCTTATTTCTACTAAACCCATCCTAGTTTGGTCATTTAGTATTTCTTGTTTAGATTATTGCAATGGCCTTTTAATTTGGTCTCGTAATCTGTGTTTCTGATCCATTTGACACAAATCTATCATTAATGGTCTTAAAATACACTCTTAAACTTTATCTTGTCCGCAAACCAACAATTTGTGTCTTTTTGTTTTGAAGTTTTTGAGACAGGGTCTTGCTATGTAGTTCAAGCTGGCCTTGAACTCACTATGTAATCCAGGCTGACCTTGAACTCAAGATCATCCTCCTGCCTCAGTCTCCTGAATGCTGGGATTACAGATGCGTGGCACCAGCACTTGGCTGTGGTTTCTTATTACCTACTAATTCAAACACCCATCATGCCTTTGAAGTCCTGGTCCCAAGTTTTCTCTCTAATGGGCTAACTTTCTCCTAATAATCAAAATTTACGTTCTGTTGAAAGAATAGTACATTTTCCTAATTTTTATATAAACTACTATTATATTATCTGTGTCAGTTTTTCTTTTGGAATTTTTCTCCCCTTTTTAATGTACCCCTGCACCCAAAAAAACTTTTATCTTTCATCATGTAGTTCAAGTATTGTACTTTTAACAGTCTCCTAAGCAAACTTTTAAGTATGTTTTTGCATAGCTTTTTTTTCCTCATTGAGACAGAGACTATATTTTCTGTATGTGTATATATACTTGGTATATTATAACCATATTTCTAGAAAATGTATGTTTGTATGTTTATAATATAACTATGTATCCAAAGTGTTTACATCTGTTCTAATATTTTAGGAAGCAGTACTAAATTATGTACCAAATGTTTCACACGCATATGTACCAAGTATAACACACATGTATAATTATATCACATGTATAAAAAATTCTGTTGTCTTTCCTAAAAATGAATGAATTCTGTCAGGCTTCAGAGTAACACAGTTTAACATCCAAAGTAAGGGTGAAAGGGTCTGCTGTTTAGATAGTCCTTCTGCAGCAAGAACATAAAATTTATAATATATTTTCCACTTTCTTTTAAGATACAGTTCTATTAATATATCAGAATGCAGATTTCACATAAAGGTGATCTGAATCAGTTGAGCTTTTTTCAGTATCTTTAATGTTTAATCTGTACTTAAAGCTTCTATATCACTAAGAAAATTATAGTGAACATACTTTCAGACATTCAGAAATATGAGTAGGGTTTTTTTTTTGTTTTGTTTTGTTTTGTTTGTCTTTTTGAGACAGGGTCTTGCTATGCAGTTCAGGCTGGCCTTGAGCTTACTTTGTAGCCCAGGCTGGCCTCAAACTAACAAGGATCCTCCTGCCTCAGCCTCCCGAGTGCTGGAATTACAGGTGTACACCACCACGCTGAGCTTAGTAGGTTTTTCTTGTTGCTGCTTTGATGTGGTTTGGTTTGGTGGGGCTGGGGATTGAACCCAAGTCCTCACACATGTTAGGCAAGTGCTCTACCAAGGAACTACACCTCCAGCCCAACTGTCAGTAATTTTTGAGGCTTGCCTTAAATGAAGAATTACTGCTGTTCTCTTGTTGAACATTATGCTTAAGTACTGATTACCTTTTTATCATTTCCACTTTATTAATGGTTTTGGGGAGACATATTGAAGTACATCATTAATAATTTTTAAGCCTGTACAAATAGCTTGTGAGAAGGAAAAGAAGGGAGTGTTTACTCTTTGATAAGCAATAAAATTGCCCTATTTTAGTTAACTTGTCTTAAATTAGTTAAAAACTGGAGAAGAGTACCAATTTTATATGTAAAATGAACATAAATATATATATTTACCATGTATATACCAGTACATAAATGCACAGTTACTGGGTTAGTGTATGCTGTTTAACTAGTGCCTGCTTAAATAATAAACATGCATAAATTTCCGTATTACTTGTAGTACATAAAATACTGTTGGCATACTATATATTAGTCATAGAGACTAAACACCTGAAAGAAAGTACTCTTGTTTGGAGATTTGTGGTTTCTGCTTCAGTTTGTAAAGGCCTTGGAATTCCTCACTCTTGTCATCACACTAGAAGAAAAGCCAAACAGTCTGAAAATCTGTAACTTTCCTTAGCTTTCTGAGAGTTGGTGTTACAGAGCAAACAAACAGCGATGCTCTGAAAACTGGAGCAACAGGCAGATAGGGGACAGGAGCAGAAGTCATGGGGCAGGAATGCACTAGAACTGGCTAATGCTGAAGGCTAAGGGTAGACTAGGATGATTGTTAAAAACAAGTAGAAGCCTAGTCTTAGGCTTTTTTACCCTGTTTTCAGTAATTTTTCTTACCTCTAGGATGCCCACCAAGTACTCAAAATAAGGACCAGATTAAAATCCCCTTTCAATTCTAGCAGGGGCATGGGGAAAGTAGCCATTTTGAAATACCAAGAGAAAGTAACTTTTAAAATACATGCCTAGAGCAGTCTTGGCAAACCTGTCACATGTGCCACAGCCAGCTGTTTGTTGTCATTGAAAGCTCTTAAGTGGTTCCTCACTATCACTGGCCTCAAGGAAAGCTACTTTTATCAGAACCTCATTTACTTCGGAGAAGAGACTCAACTTCAGGCCCCCTCGAGCCTCCCTGTCTCACCTAAGTGGAGTGTATGGGATATAGAAGCATTTGTCAAGAGTACAGTCTAGGAGTGCATGCTCACTAAAAGACTGAAACCAAATCATAGGACCATAGGGTGCTTCCCCACTTCTACACTTCACCACCACATTAACAGGCTCCTACGTGGTAACACGGTATAGCTGAAAGAGCTGTAAGACTCAGACTCTTTAAGAAGCAGTTTTTAGAGAAACCCAAAGACAAAAGGACAAAAAAAAAGATGTAAGGGGAAATTGAAGACTCAACATCATCATAGTGTTGTAAATACAGCATAACTCCTAGCACGTGAACCCTTATATCAGAGGTCTTTCTAACCTCAGTTCCTGTTACCCAGTGTATCATCTAGCCTTCAGCAGAAGGTTACAAAGTATGCTAAAAGGCAAGAAAAAACACAGTTTGAAGAGCTACATCAAGAGAACAAGACTCATATATTGCAGAGATTATTATCAACTGGGAATTAAGTAACTGTCAGTGTGAAGAACTCTAAAGAAAAAAAGTAGATGAGAGTACAAATGGGTCATACAAGAAGGAATATTGAAACTTATAAAAAGCAAAAAAGAAGAGAATAGCTAAGGGTTGTGGGATAATGACAAATGAAGTAAATACATGCAAGGAGAAGAGCAGAGAAGAGAGGAAGGACCAGGAGAAATACTTGAAGCAATAATTTTTGTGAATTTTCCAAAATTAATGACAGTCTTTTTTATAGTGATTGTGACTCCATACTTGATTTTTAGCTGCTAGTGAAAGGGAGTAATGTAAAACTGAGACATAATGATGTGTGTTCAAAACTGATGTATAATAGCCGATAAGTTGACAGGTGTAAACTCTCATGGTTGAAACTTTGTGCTGTTAATTGTAACCTAATATCTTAGCCTCATTGAATAGACTGTTCTAAATGTTCTTGTACTGATGATCCTCTGAAGTCAGCTGCTGCAGAATGTATTTTTTTCTGTCATGGCACAGATGAAGTGGAAATTTAACAGTAAAAAGATTTTTCAGGGCCCCAAACTACCTTTTATTCTACAAGTAGCAGTAGCATATTCAAACTTAAAACCCAGTAGCCTTAAAGTAGAAAGCATATTTATTTGTAATGTATAGGAAGAGCAATATCAATGAAACTTCAATGACAGTATCACTTAACAAATAAGAACAGATGACACAGCTCTTTACTTAGTAGAGTTTTGGATGTCCTCTTAGGTTTATGTTACAAAAGTAACATCTTTTCCTAAAAAATAAAAATCAGTTTAAAAATTTTTCATGCTGTGCATGATGACATCCTGATCAACAGTGGACTGCATATACAGCAGTGGTCCTACAGGATTACATCTCCTAGTGGTATAGCTATTACAGTTTGTTTGAGTGTACCCTGTGATATTTACTTGATAACATAATTATTTAAAAACACACTTCTCAGAGCTTATCTCTAAGTGACACATGACCATGGACAGATATCCTCTCTCCTTACCTGCCTTTACCCTACTTGAAAACCACTAAACTAGTTAAGTGTTTTATTTCTGTAGATAGAATGTAGGGATGAATAAAGTGAACACACTAAAATGATTTACTCAAGAGTGTAAAATCTAAAGCTGAGGTTAGATTCAGATTATATGACCCTTTCATGCTCTTGCAGCTAAGCAGCATGTCCCAGCTTTTCTACAGCCTTTCCTAACCCACTCTGCTTAGCTTCCTCTGTTCCTAGTTTCTAGACATTCAGTGTATCTAGTTTCTATAACATTGGCTGTGAGACAGTGCTAAAATAGCTGCGTTTTGTTTCAATTAACAGAAAAGTAGCAGCTCTGAATCATTAAGTGACAAAGGTTCTGAACTGAAGAAAAGCTTTGATGCAGTGGTATTTGATGTTCTTAAGGTTACACCAGAAGAATATGCGGTAAGCTTCCTGGCTCTTCCTTCTTTAGATTTTTCACATAATTTAAATATTGGTGCTGTTGAATTAGATTTTGTAGCAAAAGAGATCACTTAAAAAATGCTTATGGCCAGGTATGGTGGCACATGCCTATAATCCCAACACTCAGAAGGCTAACACAGGAGGATCACAGTGAGTTCAAGGCCAGCCTGGTGTACGTGGTGAGTTCAAGGCCAACCTAAACTACATAGCAAGACCCTGTCTCAAAAAAATAAAAAACATAGTTATGGGAATTTGGGGAGAAAGTAGCAAAACTATGGCATAAACAGGATAGTGTGGGGAATATAAGAATCTTGGGGAGCCGCTTTATAAGTTATATCTTCAATTTGGTAATAATAAGTACTTCTATCAGTCTATACATTTATCCCCAAACGGATTCTATACTTCGTTGACATATCTGAGAAGTATTTTTCTTGTTTTTCTTAACTTAAAAGTTCAAAAAGAATCAGAAGGGATCATTAGAATATCATGACGAGTATCAAAAATGTTTTTATTTTTAACTGTGTTAATTTCTGTTATTTTTTAATTTGTTAATAAAGTACATTGATTTTCTGACACTGAACCATTCTTACATTCAAGGAATAAATTATTCTTGATCATATATTTGTTCCATATATTTGTGAATTTTGTTTTGTATCTACAACCATAAGTGAGATAGGCCCATAGCGTGTAATTTTATAATGTGTTGCCTTTAGTGTGGTCTCATTACTTTCTGGTATTTGTGGTACTGGGTTTGAGCCCAGGGCTATATGTGCTTGTAGACAAGCACTCTGCTACTGCTCATTTTTAAAATTCTAATTTTGAGACAGAGTCTCACTAAGTTTCCCAGTCTGCCTTTGAATTTGTGATTCTCCTGCTTCTGCTTCTTAAGTAGCTAGGATTACAGGTGTGCACCACCATGCCTGGCTATCATCTTATTACTTTTTATGAATTAAAAAGAAAACATCTTTTATTGATAATAGATTTTATGTTACTGTTTGAGGAGCAGTAATTTAATCTTTATAACAAGAACACTGCTCTGAAATACCTGATTTTGTTTTTGATTTAATGTGTGCCATTTTGTCCAAATTCTTCAGCTTTTATTTTCTAACTTTACCTCATTTTTGAGAAGACAGTGTAAACAGGCATGAGATAATTAGAAATAATTATATTTAATGGTACTAGGACTAGTTTTTAAAAATTTTCTATAAACCCTTATAAAATTGAATATTCAGAAATATTTTAGAGTACCATGTAATTTTTTTTGTTTTTTGCAGTGCTAGCTGTCACATGCTAAGCAAGTATTCTACCCCTGAGCCCTATCCCCAGCCCCTAATTTTTATTTAGAGTATATGACATATCACACAGTTCCAAAAAAGAAATTGTCATTTTTTCACTTTTTTATTTCAGGGTCAGATAACACTAATGGATGTCCCAGTATTTAAAGCTATTCAACCAGATGTAAGTAATTTTATGAATGTTCTTTTTAAATACAGAAAATGGTCAGTTGTACTATCCTAATTAATCAGTTTTAGAATTATCAAATTATATTTCATGTTGTAAAATGATTAAAGCTTTTGATATAATTTGTATTAGTTAGGCCTCAGAAATTATGTGGCACTCATAACAATACATCATTGAGTTATAAACAGATTTGTTTAAATAATTTTGATTTGGCTTCATTAATTTACAGAGAAAGTATCAAAGAACACTTTTCTGTTCTTAATCAGAAGAAAAGGACTAAGGTAGTACTTCTGTAAATGGGGTACATGTTTAGCATTCCTATCATTTTTCACACCCTGGGTATGGGAGCATCTCCTCTTTCTGGTGAGAAAACAAGGACAAAGAAAAAACCCTTAAGATGTATCATGTACTTTACAAACTCCCCAAGGTAAATGCAGTCATTATTTACTGCAAATATGTACTGATTAAAAAAAAACTTCAAGTTCCAGTGCAGCCTGGTCCTTATAAGACCCTGACTCAAAATACAAAAAGAAAAGAAAAAAATTCATTCTTTTGGTTTTATTCTAAAAGATAAGAAAATGTGTACTTCATTTTTAACACTTAAATATAGGAACCATTTTCTATTTGTGCATTATTTATCAAATATATCGTTTTTTGTCTACTGTTAAGCCAATGGTTCTATTTAAGAGAACCCTCTATGGCATGGAAAAAAGAAAAAGACTTGTAAAAATGTCAAGAACTCAATAGATCATGTAGGCCTACTGCTTAATTTTACACATGGCAAACATGAAATATTGACATTAAGTAACTTACTAGAAAATTACATACCTAATAGCACATTACGTAAGATATATATATATATTTTGTCCCTTTCCCCTTCCATTCTTCCCTGCTTCCTCCAATTCTTTTTACCTTTTCCATTTATAAAAGCTCTGTTTCCATTTTTTTATTCTTTTTTATCCCTTCTTTTCTCCCCCTCCCTCCATCTTTTATTTCCCTTCATATTTGAAAAGGATTTCCCTACTTTCTATTATTTTTTATTTTGTTCTTTATTTATAATTTGAGTTTCTTATGAGAAACCATGTGATATTTGAACTTGTATATCTGATTTATTTCACTTAATATCATAATCTTAAGGAGCATCCATTTTCCTACATATGCCTCAAATTTATCCTTTATGGCAGAGTAGTATCCCATTGTGTATAAGTACCACATTTTCTTTATCTACTCATCTGTTGATGGGCATATAGGCAGCTTCCAAGATTTAACTATTATATGGATAATACTGTTGTGAACATGGGTTTACATACATCCCTGTAAAATGATGACTTTAACTTTGGGGAAGATATCTAAAAGGAGAATAGCTGGGTCAAATGGAATTTCTATTTTTAGTTTTTTAATTAAGCACTTTCCATACTGATGTCCACAGTGGTTGTACTAGTTTACAGTCCCATCAACAATGTAGAAGGGTTCCTTTTTCCCTGCAGCCTTACCAGGATTTGTTAGATTTGATTTCTTGATGATAGCCATAAAGAATGGAGTAGGTGGTATCTCAGTGCTCTTTCAATTTTCTGTAATGGCCAGTGATGTTGAACATTTTTGCATGTATTTATTTATTGGCCATCTGTACTACTACTTCCGTTAAGTGCCTATTCATTTCAATTGTCCATTTTCTGATTGGGTCTTTTATTTGGGGGGGGGTCCTACTCTTTTGATTTCTTTATATATTGTAGATGTCAGCCTTCTGTCTGAGGAGCAGCTGGCAAAATTTTTTTCCCATTCTGGAGGTTGTCTCTTCACTTTGTTGGTTGTTTTCTTTGCAGTCAAGAACTTGATCTTTTACTTTGGTATGATCCAATTTATTGATTCTTCATACAATTTGTTGTACAGCTGAGGTTCATAATTTTTGCTTATGCCTATGACTTCAAGGGTTTTACTTATTTTATTTATTTATTTTTAAAGAAGATAAGGTTTATTTAGCTCACAGTTTGTAGAGGTTTCACTTCATAGTTGGCTGGCTCCAAGGCAGGTGGCATGGTAGAAGGGCATTGCAGAGGAGAAACAGTTCATGGTGGACAGAAATCAGCAACCAACAAGTAAGAAGTAACAAGCAGTGGCCCTCTTTTTATCCCTTACCAAGCTTTACCTATTTTAATCTTCCTTAAGTGCTTCTGTTTTAACATTTAGATCTTCGATCCATTTTGATTTTAGTTTAGTACATGGTAAGATATATGGATCTAGACTCAGTCTTCTGCATGTGGATATCCAGTTTTCTGAGCACCATTTGTTAAAGAGGCTAGTTTTCCTCCAGTTAGTTACTTTTCCCTCATTGCTGAAACAAAATACCTGATACCCAATGTTAAAGGGGAAAAGGCTTATTTAGCTCATAGTTTGTAGAAGTTTCAGACCGTAATCCGCTGGCTCCAAGGCAGGGTGGTGTGGCCCAGAGGCAACAGTTCATGCCAGCAGAAGACAGCAAAAGCAACAAATGCAAAAAAGGCAAGCCTCTTTTCTTCCCTTATATTGTATGCAGGCTACCCGCCCTAGGGCAGGTGTAGCATTTAAACCCCCAGTCCCAGCAGTAGACAATGAACCAATCTCAAACTCTAGATTCAGCTGCCTCCAAAAAGTCCACCCTCAAGACTGCATGACGCTTTTCAGGAGACATGCAGACACAAACCATAGCAGACTCCATTGTTAAAGATCAAATCAGTGTGTCTGAGGTTTTTTCTCCTTCCTCTGTTCTGTTCCATTGATCCCCATTTCGTTTTTTGTATCTGTACCAGGCTGAGTTTTTTTTTTTTTTTTTTTTTTTTAAATTCACTGCGGCTTTGTAATACAACTTTTTTTTTTTTTTAAATGAGACAGGATTTCATTGTGCAGTTCAGGCTGGCCTTTGTAGCCCATGCTGACCTTGAGCTCACAGTGATCCTCGTACCTCAGCCTCCTGAGTGCTGGGATTACAGATGTGTGCCACCATGCCCAGCTATCATATTATTTAAGATCTGGGGTTGTGTTGCCTCCATCTTTACTTTTGTTTCCCAGAATTACTTTTGCCATTCTGGGTCTCTTCTGGTTCCATATGAATTTTTGGATTTTTTTTTCCCCTAGATATGTGAGGAATGCTTATTTTGATTGGGATTGGGTTAAATCTACATCAGTTTTGGAAGTGTAGCCATTTTAACTACATTGGTTCTGCCTGTCCAGGAACATGGGTTATCTTTCCATTTTCTGATGTCCTCTTTAATTTCCTTTTTCAGAGTAATTCTCATAGAGGTCTTTCACTTCCTTGGTTAAGTTAATTCCTATGTGTTTAATTTTCTTGATGCACCTGTGAATGGTACTTTCCTAATTTCTTTCTCAGTGAGTTCATTACTAGTGTATAGAAAACTATTGATTAGTGTTTATTTTATATTCTGCTACATTGCTGAATATGATTAATTCTAGGAGTCTTTCAGTGGAGATTTTTAGGTTTTGTAAGTAGAGGATCATGTCATTTGTAAATGATGATACCTTGATTTCTTCCTTTCCTGTCTGTACTCCCTTTTTATCTCTTGCCTGATTGCTCTAGCCAGTGTTTTGAGGACTGTATTGAATGAGAATGGTGAGAGTGGACATCCTTGTCTTGTTCTTGATTTTAAAAGGAAGACATTTAATTTTTCCCTGTTTAATATGATGTTCATTGTCTGTCATGTAGACTGAGGCATGGTTCTTCTATACCTATTTTCATCCCAATTTCAATCACAAATGGATGTTAGATTTTATCTAAGGCCTTTTCTGTGTCTCTTAAGATGATCACCAGATTTTTGTCCTTGCTTTTGTTTAAATAATGAATTACGTTTATTTATGTATGTTGCACCATCTTTGTATCCCTGGGGTGAAGCCTACTTGGTCATGGTGTATAATTTTTTGATGATTTGTTGCATTCTGTTTGCCAGTATCTTGAGGATTTTTGCATCTATGTTCATGAGAGAGATTGGCTTGTACTTCTCTTTTTTGGTTGGTGCTTTGTCTGGTTTTGGAATCAGGGTAATGCTAACTTTCAGGAATACTTTGGACATACTTATTAAAGCGTTTGAGGAGTATTGGTGTTAGATTTTCCGTTAAGTTCTAGTAGAATTCAACGGTGAGTGCATCAGGTCTTGGGGTTTCTTTTAGTTGGTAACATTTTTTTGTTTTTTAAATTATTGCTTCAGTTTCATTATCTGTTATTGCACTATTCAGAATTTTTTCATCTTTTTGGTTCAGTTTTCGTAATTCATACATATCTAGGAATATCTCTTTTTTTTTCTGAGTTCTCCAATTTATTGGCATACATGTTTGTGGATGTACTTGATAATAATATGGAACTTCAACTTGACAATTCTCCTGCCTCAGCTTGTGGAGTGTCGGGGTTACAAGCGTGTACCACTATGCCCAGCAGAAGTGAAATTCCTTATAAAAATTACATTTTTGGACCTGGAATTGAGCAGCGTTCTCTTTAAACTTATTTTTCCTTTTAATAAACGCCAGCATTTTATCGGTGTTTCATATAAGAATAGTGCTGTCCAATGGAGGTATGCATTTGAGCAACATGGTGCTAGACAGTGTCATGAAAAGCATAAAGCAAGGGAAGGGGATGTGAAGTGAGAATAGTGGGAGTTGCAGTTTTAGATAGAATGCTTAGGAAGGCTTTACTGAGAAGGTGATATCCAAGGAAGACTTGAAGGAAGTGAGAAAACAAGTGTCGAAGGTGTTGGGGAAGCAGTTTCAGATAGGGAACAGCTGGGCAAAGGTGAATGAGCAAGGTGGGGAATGTACAAGAAGAGAGGGTGAGTGAGGGCTGGGTAACTGGAGCCCGCGGCCTGAGAAGGATGGCAAGTTATAGGAGGGTTTTGAGCAGAAGACGGGCGTTTTCTGATTTACCTTTTAAGACGCTCTTTCAGACAGCTGACTAGAGTAAGTGAGAAAGTGAACATAAATGGAGAGGAGGAGCATTTCCAAGGATTGAATGAAGG